GTGACGCGCAGGGAGGGACATGATGTCCACTATGCTGCTGGCGCCTGCTGCGAGAAGGCTGTTCGTGTGCGATGCAATCGAATTCATGAAGATGAGATAAGAGGAGAAGAGGAGCAGTTTCAGGTATGGAGGAGAAGGAAAGGGACATAATAAGCCAAAGGAACAACGCTTCTACAAGAAGAAGGTGGTTGTGAAGAAGGAGCATGGAGCACGCATGGCAGAGGCTGAGCCAGATCCCGACGAGCAGAATGAAGATCCTCTTGATAATGAACAAGAGCCCATGGACATTTTTTTCGAAGACCATACAGAGGGCTGTGAGGAAGACGCAGGGAGCGCCCGAGAAAATCATCGATTGGACAATAATAGCAACAGTGATAATAACAAGAAGAGTATTCTGATCGAACATGTTCTTGTCGGTTTAAGGCAAAATGGTCTACGCGGGGTCTCTTGACCAAGGATTCTGCTTGACGGGGCTCCTTGAACAGGAACAAGGATTCTGCTTGACGGGGTGCCTCGAACAAGGATTCTGTTCGACGGGGCCATTCTAACAAGGATTCTGTTTCACGGCGTCACTTGAACAAGGATCCCTCGACCAAGGATTTTGTTTGATGTCGCCCCTCGACCAAGGTCTCTGTTTGGTGGGATCCCTTTATTATGGATTCTGTTGAGCCGTCTGGGCTCACAGTCCTTCCGCTTACGCCTTATTGCAAGGGCCGCGGCTTTGATGCCCGGAAGACGTGGGGGTGAAGCGTCAATAGAGGACACACTCACCAGTGGGTGGATTGCTCTGTGTACTATGGAAAGTGAGTGACATCGTGGACCGGTGCTGTGCGTGGTTTCATCGAATGGAGTGTTGGTGGGACGCACGAGCCCCTCGCTGCCGCAATGAAATCGGCTCTGAGGTCGATTGCGTCCATAGGTGATGTTCGTGGTGACAAGGATGCGTGGACCCTTTTGGTGTTATCGCTGAAGTGCTTGATGGCCCTGCTGTCTGCTTCCGCGCGCAACGCGCCAGTATGGAAACCGTTGAGCAATTCCGCCAGCGTGGTCGGCTTTCCTTGTGCACTGTCCGGTCTGCCATGCTCGACTTCAAGTCCAAGTTGGGAAGATGGGGTATTTCACGTGGCCCAAATACTCGTAGTGATGGTGCCATTTGTTGCTGATGTGCCCTTGCGGTGAATTTCCATGGCATGTCACCCATCTCTTTTGCGGAGCCTACGAAGGGTGGCGCCGTGCCATGACCTGGTTGCAGAACCAAAATCAGGGACAAGTGTTCGCCTCCCACACCAATGTGGGGTTTTTGGAGAGTCCGATTTCGCATGAGGTCAACCCCACTGATCTTTTGGGTGACGTTGCGGATCCTTCATAGATCCCGTGTTACGTCCTGCCATGAGAACCTTGTGATGACGCGCTCACCGCCGTGCCCGTCGTGGAGTCGAGGAGGCAAAATTCCGGCCTTCCTTGCTGCTAGGCTTTTGCTTTGTTGATTGTGTGGAGCATATTTGCGAGATTCGACCGATTGCAGTCGTGTTTGAAAGTAGTGACAGCATTGAGGCTCACAGTCATTGGAAAGTGATTCAAGCTGCCCTCCAATTGGCAGGATACAAGTGCTTTTGGTGACAAGACTTGCATCAGCTAACTGGCAATTGTCGAACAAGGTGGTTAGCCGTGTGGCTGAGACGTGATGTGCCCAAAGAGAGACCCATTGACAAGTTCATTTGCCCTCATGTGGCTCGAATCTCATGGGATGACCCTATCTGCCAGCTATATACCAGTTTCGCTTCTCAAAAGGGCGTTGATTCTGGATGATGGGCGTAAGTGCGTTTACACAAACCACAAGCTCCTTCCACCAGCTAAACGGATCAAGGCCGCTGATGATGCTTCTGAACAAGAAGTACTGGCTGCAAAAAACATCTCTGAGCAGGATTATCTACCGACACTTTGCGCTTCCTACACCCCACAGCACCTTTTGCACAAAGAGCATTGGCAGACGCGTGGTTTGTTTGCTGGATTAAAAACTGATGGATACAACTTCACGTTTGTTGATCCATTTGTCTTTCTCTCTATGTTCGGTGCAACGGGTACCATCGTGCTTCCCAAGGATTTGAATCTGGCTTTCCATCGTGTGGGAAATGCTATTTTGCAAATTCATGGATTGGTTGCGCTTCTTTTTGCTACTCAGGGGGTCTCTGGTGATGCGTTACCTAAGCTGGCCCTTGTGAGGCAGTGCTGGTCCGAGCGATTGACCAGCCTGAGTGCTGTTGTTCGTACCCAAGATGGTTGGCTTCTTTTGCAACCTATCCTTCCTGATTCAATTTGCCGCTGAGAATGACCTGATTCGGATTTCTTTTTAAATGCTCAGGAATGCATTCAAGCCACTCTCATCAGAGCTTTTGAGCTTGAAAAACAACATGCGCCACTTCTCCATGTGTCCATTGGGGGACGTGCTATTGACGAGTATGCGACTTGGGAACATGTATGTTCTGGAGTGTGAGATTCATTTCCTTGGTGTCCCTGCCTGCAGTGCGGTGATTGTACATGCATCAGCTGAGACGAATGACCCCTTTGTCTCACCGACGCAGCCATGGGATGAAATCGATCGCGACAGGGAAGATGACTGCTTGCGTGAAGCCAGACTTTCTGGCTTTCTCCACGTGTTTGAATATGTTTGCCAGTCACCACTTGGTCACAAGATTGATCGTGTTCTCTTTCTGCAGCAGGACCGTTCCTGTATGCGTTTATCGTGAATGCTGATGGGGAACGTCCCTTCTTTATCTGTTGATGGGCAGCAGTTGCACTTCTTTCGAGTTCACCGATCATTGCAATCCATGGACTTACTCATTGTGTGTAGTATGGGAGTGAGGGAAGGAAGAACAAAGAAGTTGTTGGTTTGCAAAGTTCGAGGGACATGCAAGGTCGAACATGGAACATGTAGCACGGTCGGTACAATGATGCTGACAAAAAGCATCCTTCCACCCAAAAAGGCTGCGGTGTTGATCATCCTAGTGAAAGTAGTAGGGTTCTATAACTTTGTCACCGACCCACTTGCAAACTCCAGGCGGATTCTATACACGAGGTTCTAGAGACTCCTTGCCCACAGACCCGGTTCATCATCTGAGCCTCTTTAAGCCACTCTAAAAATTTGGAGTGAGGGTACTTGTTGGTGGTTTCCATTCACCAGTCTGAGACTTATCTAAGCAACCCTAAACCACGCTAAAATTTTAGAGGAAGTGGGTCTGTGGCCTCATTCTGCTTGGGGATAGCTATCTGGACCCTTCCCTACAGCCTTCTACCTGGCACCACCACTAAATTTTTGGAGGAAGTGGGTCTGTGGCCTTTCTGCTTGTGAATAGCTATCTGCGCACCCTGCAGCATTGTACGGCACCAACTCTAATCCACTAACATTTTAGAGTTCACCTTGAAGAGAACGTCCGTCTGAAATCGTCTAAAATCTTAGATAGTCTTAGAGTAGAGTGTTTAGTTTTTCTGGCATCAAATGGTTTTAGTATAGAGTATTTTAGAGTTGTTCTTCGGACGCTCTACAATAAATTTCAGATGAAAACCGTGTTCTTCTGCGGTTTGCGTGAGATGTAAGCATAGCTTGACGGAAGAGAGGCGGTGCAAGGTTGGGAGAGAATCGAAAGCTGCGCAAAAGATGATCAGCCCCAAGTTCAACGTAAAGGAGTTGCGAAGCCTGGAAGGGAAGGACATCACGTTTTTGGGAGTGAAGACATCCCTCAATACATGGAGAAGGTGCAACCGGCAAAGGTGGAGACCGATGCAGGTCAATGTTTGCAAGGAGAACAGTTGTCTGCAGATCGAAGGTTGGCAATGCAGCTGAGAGGGCCAGCTCATTGGTGATGTCAGAATTCCTGTTTCGCGAGAGCGCACTTGCCCAGAAGGTGCCAACAGGAACAGGAAAGGACCTGCTCGTGACTACTCGTGTCTTATTTTGACGCATCCCTTGGAAAGACGGATGCGGTGGCAGCTGAGCAGGCAGAGATCCATTTTAAGGGCTGTCGAACGACAACCGACGAAGAGCAGCGTCATCGAGTTCCACAGCAGTAAGGCGCAAAGAGTTGTTCGCTCCAGCCTTGCAGCAGAGTCGTGTGCCATGACTTCAGCAGCTGACAATGAGCGTGCAATAGAGCGTTGTTTGGAGCAATATATACAATAGAGCCGAGCGTTGTTTGGAGCATTGTTCTATAGGTGTACGGAGATTACACCGCAAATTGATGGCATCATCATCACGGATGCAAAGGGGTTCAATGACCACGTCAACAAGACGGGGAGTATGGCCAGTGAGCAACAACAGCGCTGGACATGCTGATGGTCAAGCGCCTTGTGGGAGACGAGGTGTTGCGTCTTCGATGGGTGCCTACCTGGAAAGAGGTATCTGACCTGCTCACCAAATGATGAACACCAAGCTTTTGCAGCGCTTCCGAAAGACAGGACAGCTGTGCTTGGTGGAAACGAGTGAGGCAAAGGTCGAGGAAGAGAGGCGGGTCAGAAAAGCCGGAAAAGGGACGCAAGGCAAGAATGGTGACAGCGCGGAAAGGGACGCAAGGCAAGAATGGTGACAGCGCGGAAACGGACCCCTTTTCTTGACGTGAAGAGTGTCAAGTGTGGTGTCAGCTTTCCGTGCTTGTCGGTTGGCATGTGCATTTTGCTTCGCCGCTTGTGGCCTTTTTACGTGAAGGCATTGATGACTGCTTGCGCAGAAACAGAGTTTTCGCTTTTGCTTGTTTGCGGTGTTGCACACATGCGCAGACCTTTCTTGTGCGCCTTGTTTTTTGGTGGTTGCACCCCCAATAGATTTGTTTGGGAGTGGCGCCCCACTTTGATCACAGACAAACAAACATATCAATACTCATCAGTGGTCAGTTCTCTCAAGCTCCAGCCCATTTGCAGTCACAGGCTTGGTACTCAGTCAAATCGCAGCCTATAACAACTGTGCAGACGGCGCAAATTTCGCTGACCAAAGAACAAGCTCTGCGCAGGACGACCGTGAGTCAACGCCCACGTCACCCTGCTGCATTGAGATGTGTTGAGTACTGGCCAGGTCCAGCTTTGCAGGAGCTAATCAACCCCCCAAACCAGACGCTTGCTTTGTTCAGTGGATTCCAAGAAATTCCAACACTAGAAATCATGAGCAACTACCATGCTTCCGAGCATTGCGCTTGGATTTTCAACCTAAGTTTTGCGCCTTGCGCCAAGGCCTGATGATCGGGTTGCAGACAGCAAGGACTTCCCCTCGGGGGAGGGATCACAAGTCGCCGCGTTTTCCGCCAGGTTTGATGGTGGCAATTTGTGGCAATATCAGTCATCATAAACTTGCAGTCTTCTTGCCAAAGCGCAAGACTTGACGCAACAATTCAGGGAACATGGCACTTTGCTGCCGTACGAAGGAGAATGGGATCACTCCGTTCCTCACACAACATAGTTTCGTAGAGATGGTGGCGACGGAGTGGCGTTTTAGCAGTCTCATTCTCGATGTTGTTAAGAACTGTCCATTAGTAGAGTCAGAGACATATAGAAGAGCTTCCCGACAGTCGTGGCATCTCAAGGGTACTTTGTTCACACCGCTGGAACTTCCCATCGCAACCAACGTTTTCTTGTGGAGGACAGCGAACAAACTAGATCAAACCAATGTTCAAAACTACTATCTTCCTAGCATTGCGCTTTGGTCCGGGACGTCCAGGACTTCGAATTCTCTTCGGTCACTGAGCAACTCTGGCGCCATTGAGGGTTGGATCTTGAGATCTCATTTATCGTTTCGGGCAACTTCAGAGGTCAGAGTGACATCTCCACTTATTCTCATTCCCGAATGCGTAGCGAAGGGCGAAGGTTTCTCGTTTATAGTGGGGGTCTGGGGGTTGGACTGTGTTCACCTCGCGTGCTCTTTGTCGTCGTCTGTCGTCCTCGCGTCGTCGCTAATTTGACCCCATTGGGCGAAGCTTTTGGAGAGGTTTTTCGACGGAGGGCGATCGTCAGAATCGTCGCAAATCAATACTGTGGTTTTGGGACGTTGGATTTGGGAGGATGAATTCACTGCGCAGGCGCAGCATTTTGTGAGATCCGCAGTGTTCTGCGCAGTCAGATTGGGATTGGCGTTTAGATTGGAGGGTGGTGTTTTTGGGGTGTTGGATGTGGCTGTGACGTTGGGACGATTTTCGTGGATGGGAGGGTGCTCAGAACGTGTCGAAATGATTCCAAACGTGTGGCTAACGTGATATGATATTGCCACTTTTCGCGGCAGGCGCAGTACTTTGTGCGGGTTTTGAGGTGTGGAAGTGGCAGGCGCAGGGAATCGTGAGGTTGCAAGGTGTGGTGGAGGTGAGTGTCGCTGTGACATTGGGATTGGCGTGTGAGCGGGTGTTGTTTGGAGGGGCTGGAATCACGAAACTGCTTAGCAGGGCTGCTTGATGTGTGCTCCTATGGAGCTTCCCGCTTGACTTTTTGGAGGAAGTCTCATACGAAATGCTCGTTTTGGAGACTTTGACATGCCCTGAGTCTGCTGCTTTATTAAATTTAGTCTTTGGATGGATTTATGTAATTGATCAATTTACATTGATTTTCATGTAAAATCTCAAGTAAACTAAATTTTGGGAAAACAACAAATTACATGTACTTTTTGACAAAAACATGTAGTTTTGCATGGTCTTCTGCTAAGCTATTCTCAAAGCAAGGCTACTATAACATGTTTTTCTCAGCAGTTAATGGCATGAAATACATACCCATACCACCTTTTGAACTTGTTACAATCAAATTCCATAGCACAAGTAAAGGTATCAGGTACTTTGCACATGAATTTCCAGAGCACAAGTAAGGGCATAAGTGGAATTTCACAAGAGACAAGTGCATTTTCATTAGAAGAAAATGTATCTTGCGTTTGGTTTTCCTCAGCACAAGTAAAGGCACAAATGCAATGTGACAAGAGCAGTAAAAGAACACTCTGTTTTTCAAAGTTTGCCTTGTAGCCACAAGAGGTGTCGCTCTTTCCAAGCAGCCTTTTTGGCTCCTTGCCAATGCTTGGACCCATGCATGCAAGACTTCCATAACATTTGGACTCGCAATCCATTCTGGAATCTCACCGGCTGCAAGCATTTGCAGAAATTTTTGGTTCTTCACTCTGTCTCTTGTTTCTGAAGTCTTTTTTTTTCTGGTTCCGCATTTGGATCTTCCTCCTTCTCCTGTTCTTCCTCTGCTTCTTCTTCTGTTTTTTCTTTGAGGGACTAGGCCAAGATGCCAGTTTGCCTCTTGCTTCTTGGAAGGTTTGGTCTGCTCTTCTGATCTTGCAGGTTTCTTGAAGGGTACCGGTGGCCTGGCAGTCTGACTGGCAGCTGGCTTCTTCATTGTTTGTTTGATCACTTTGCTCTTTGCCTTTGGAGCCGCTCTTGCCTTTGCAATCTTTGTTGCCGGTTTCGTGATGACTTTTTCACCAATGGATTGAGGCTTTTCACTTTTCTCTGAATGCACTGGTGTTGCAGGCTGCATCTCGACGTCTTCTACTTTCTCAGCCATGGGGTCAGGTAAGCTTTGGATATGCCTTGAGTTTCTTTTGGCTGTCAACACAAACAGCTGCAGAAGGTCACATGTAAATTGTTATCTTCGCAATTATACCAGCATAGACCCCAAACAGCTTCAAAACGATTCGTTTAGACCAATGTTAATCAAACAACGATTTCTTAGTACGCCCTATCTTCACCCCAAGAGCAAATTGCTTCATGAATGAATTTTTGTCGGCGTTATCGTTATTTGTTCGGCTCCCTCCCTCCCCTCCCTCCCCTCCCTCCCTCCCCTCCCTCCCTCCCCTCCCTCCCTCCCCTCCCTCCCT